CAATCTCCTGCCTCCCTCATAGGGGCTTCTTTTTACACAACAGGCTAGCTGTGCTAAAGAATGTCAAATAAAAGCCTTGCGAGAGCTTTGCCATATGCAGGCCAAATTAAATTAAGGGGCATAATCCTCACTATTGTACTTATCAGCATTAAAATGGAGGATTACCATCATGGGAACAAAGCCCCATGACATAAAAGACTATTTCCATTCTATCATTCACTGTACACAGTTACAGGCTCATGTAGGAAGTGGAGCATAGAAATGCCACACCAACCGCTGACTTCTACTTTCAACCTGAGGTTTCCTTCTCCCTCGCCAAGTGAACCCCACCCCATCATGCACAGACGGGAGTGACTTTTCCGTGAGGCCGTAGGCTTTCTCCCAAGAATTTGGTGCTGGAATTTTCTCCACCAATCACAGGGTGACAGTTTTATGCCAATCAGAGTTTATTCCTTAGCTGATTGTGTTTTAAGATTTGCTGCAATGACAGTTATAGAGAACATAGAGTAGAAAAAGCCCTGGGCTAAGCATTTGGAGCCTGCAATCTAGAGAGGCAGTTGAATGCACCACTTAAAAGTGTGGGCTCTGGAGTCAGAAGGCCTGCGTCCAAACCCTGACTGTCACTTTACTAAGTAACATTGGAAAGTCACTTGTAATCTCTAAATGTCAGAAGTAATAAAATGTATACCTCTCCCATAGGGTTGTTATGAGGATTAAATAGGATAATGCAAGTAAAACACTTAGCACAGTGCCCAGGAAGTTGTTAACGAATATCAATATGAGCTGTTGTCATTATGTTGGAGATAGAAGATCTGGATTCAAGCCACAGACCTGCCGTTTATTCTCTGTGTGACAGTGGGTGATCCCCGGACTAGCTGAATGAGGGCAGAAGTAAGTAAATCTGATACATCCAACCCAGAACTAGGTCTCTGGGCCAGCATTTGGAACCTACTTGATTAGCTTTCCAGAGGTTCAGTTTACTCATCAGTAACTTGGAGTTGGTGACACCAACCCAAAAGGCTGGTGTGAGAATTACGTGAGATAATTGTGGGAAAAGACCTGGCATCACAATAAATGTTGGGTGAATCTGAGTGAAGATTTCAAAATGTCCTTATCGTTCTTATTCTCAGCAATATTTCTTGTCGTCTCTGGGTCTTCCTTATGATCACTCCCCTCTGACTTTGCCATGCCTTCATCTTTCCCCGGTATATATCTGCTCCCATCACTCCCCCTCTGGGACTCTTCTGGCACACACTGCCCTTTCTTCTTTGCCTACTTTCTCCACGTGGAAGCTGAAAATGCCAATGCTCTCTTCCCCACCCTCCCTTGCAGCTCTCCTGCAGAGCCGCCTCTGTCAATTCTGGCCAATGAGATGTGAGGGTAGTGTCTAGGGAACTTCTGGGAAAGGTTTCCCTTCTGACAAATGGAGACAGACTCCTGAGGAGAGCCCCCTTTCCATCCACCTCTTCCTCCCTGCTTTGGACATTGCCATGTGAGGAAGTAATGCTTAGCACTGCTTCAACCACCTTGTGACCATAAGTGGAGGCATTGCTGATATGCCAAAGTAGCAGAACAAAGAGATGGAAAGGGCCTACGTCCTTGATGACATCCCTGAGTGGCTGACCCAGCACTGGAACTTCTGTTTTTGGACCTCTTGTCCTGAGGGATCCTTGAGTCTATTGGTAGGAGGTTCTGTTACTTGTGGCTGAGAGCATCATCACTGGCACAATTCAGCTCTCTTCTTCTTCTTTCCATCCTCCTTTTGCCCTCCAAGACTTCCTTCCTGTCAACCCCTGGGCTGACCCACAGGGCATTGAGGTGACCATCAAACACAGAGGGAAAAATAGGACCCCACTCCCCCGAGACAAGAATGTCCTGACACACTATCTGTATTCTGTTGTTGCTGCCACCACCCAAAGATTGAGCAGGAAGAAAATTTCTCTCATAAAAATCTCTGTCCTGAAGAGTGACTCAACAAACTTATTGAGTACCTACTGCATGTATCGGAAACAGGCAGAAGTAAAACTCAGCCCTTGCCTTTCAGAAGCTGACCTGCTAGGTCAACCACACCACAGGGCAAAACATGAAGAGCCATAGAGAGTGATAAACCACAGTGTGGTCTGAGGACTGTCTGTGAACCATTACCACTCACAATGTCATAAGATGCTTGTGCCAAAATGTAAATCAATTCATCACCAATTACACTGGTTAGTTCAGCTGATATTTTTTTCATAACAAGACTTTCTTGATGAAGAAAGTAGTAGGTTGATTTACATTCCGACACAATTTCATTATTTTGTTGCAAACCAACACTTTGAGTAGTACTGTTACGAAAGTTCAAGGAGTGTTAAATAGAATTAAGGTCTTCCTGGAGGAAAGGGATATGACAGTGTATCTTCACAAAATAGGTAGGAGTTGAGCAGAAAGGAATGGGCAGAGAGAACAGAGGAAGGAGCACTGGTAGAACAATAAGGAGTCTGATTCTAGGGAGCCAGAGGATGCATACAGAAATGTATCAGAGGTGAGTCTGGAGGACAAACTGGAGCAAAACAGGGAGAGGCTTGGAATAGCAGACTGAGACATCTGAATATCTTTTGGGTGGAAATGGGAAGCCATTAAAGTTCTTTGAAAAGTCAGAGTATGTGTTAGGACGATTGATCAGGTGTCAGAAATGAAAGCTCATCTGTAAAGAGGAGAGAATGGAGAGAGAAAGAGATCATGGCAGGCCTGGACCAGGGAAGGATTCTTAGAAAATGATTGGAGATGGGGTTAAGTGAGAGGTAGGAATCAAAAATGATGGCCAGGTTTCAAGGCCGGGTTATAAGAGAGCATTTGTGCCACTCACAGAAGTAGGAAGGGCAGGTGGAGGAGGCGCTTTGGCGGGGGCTTTTCTGCTGAGGTCCTGGTGTGTAAATCAGGAATACATGTCTAGCAGGAGTGGGCGTAGGAGTGTGGAGCTCAGAACAGAGATCTGAGAATCATGCTCTCACGGCTGAGAGGTGACACCAGAATACACCAGTGAGAGAGGATATCACACAGGTGAGAAGTAGAGAAAGAAGAGAGTCAAGGACTTGGAGAACTGCCTGCATGTTGGTGGTGGGTGGAAGTTGGAACCTGAGAAGGATGTCTTGGAGGAAGAACTTGAAGACTGCAGTACTGCAGACACCCATGGAAGAGAGTGATTCAAGGAGAATATGAGGCATGGAATTGAATGCTGCAGAGTCTGATGAAAATGAGCCTCTAGCAACTGAGAGCTGAGATTCCCAAGGACAGTTTTAGAGACGTGGGGAGGGCACAGATCAGATTTCAGGATTAAGGAAGGAAGGGTTGGTGAGGGAATGAGGCAGTCAACCTGGATGTCAGTCTGAGGAAGTCTGATGGTAAAAGCAGGAAGACAGGAGACAGGGCCAAGAGCGGGCTTTTGTTAGAATGGGAAGAGGTATAAGCAAAAGGGAAAGAGGCAGCAGAGGGAGAAAGATGTGAAAGCAAGGAGTGGGGTAACTGATGGTGGCAAGGCCTGGTGGGCAGGAACATGACGGAGGGTTAGCCTGTGCAAGGAAGAGGACCAGCGGCTTTGTGAAACAAGAGCAAAGGAAGAAAGGACAGCTAAAGATAAGGAGAGACTCTAAAGTGGAGGGAAGTGGAAGTTGCTCACAGCACTGTCCTGAGATTCTGAGTACCATTAGTCATCAGCTGAGGTTGAGGGGAGTCAGGCTGGGGTTGGAGCCATTTACCAAACTAGTTGTCTGACTTGGCCAAGGTCAAAGAGCTGGAAAACGTTAGCACTAGGACCAGAACCCATGTCTTCCACCTGCCAAGTTCAGTGGTCTTTCCACTGCATCAGAAATTCTAAACTTTGTTATTCTAACATGAGATGATAGGTCTATACTAGTCTCTCAAGAACCTTAAATGAGCTATTCTGACTATTAGGAAGGTCAGCTACTTTAAAAGCAGTCCAACAACAATTTGAGACCAATTTGTCAAGTCTCAAAAAATTAAGAATTATTTTTCAAAATTACATATCAAGACCACCTCTTTCTCCAGGTGAAAAGATGCAAAGAACTTTCTAATGATCTGCTTCTTTCTCCAAATCCTGGAGTAAATTTTAATGCAAGTTCCCACAATCAATTTGGAGGAAAATAAGAAAAGCAAGCATCATTCTGGTTAGACCTTCCCTTTGCCATGGTCCACTCCTTCCTATAGTTGTCTCCTCCTCCTGGTGACATATATGATAAGGCCTGGAAACCTTTTCTGGGAGAAGGTAGGTTATGTAGTTTTCCCTGAAGAACAGGAAGGCATCTGAGGTCCTCGAGTCTCCAAGACTTGGTGTCATGGCCTGGCTGGAATTAAAGTAACCTGAGACTACATTTAGCCAGGGTCATTGGCTCAGATGTACATTGAAAATGGAGCACTATGGCCCCAGGCAATAGCACTCCACTCATTTTGAATTATATTTAACTAAAACCTGTGAGTAAATAGGAAATGATACTCCCTTTCTGCATTAGCTTAAACCCAAGGTTTTTCAACCTCAGGACTATTGTCATTTTGGGCTGGACAATTCTTTGTTGTGAGGGGGCTGTGCTGTGCATTGTAGGATGTTTAGGAGCATCCCTGGCCTCTACCCAGTAGATGCCATTAGCACAACTCCTCCCCCTAAAGTTGTGACGATAAAGATGTCTCCAGACATTGCCAAATGTCCAGGGGAGAAGGGCAAAATTGCCCCCAGTTGAGAACCACTGCTTTAACCCGATGAGGCCAAGTACAAGCTTTACCATGAAGAGAACCAAAAAAGCAGGATTGTGTTCAGGTTGTCCTGAAGAATAAAGATTTTTGCCCATAGGGTAATGACCTCTAACATGGGAGAATCTGATGGGGGACACTTTTTGGCTCCACTTTCTCCAACTCACCAAAGTAACAGTGTTAGAAATACTTTTGTTTCATTGTCTATTGGAACCGAGCCCTTGAGTTTAAGACTGGGAACATTCACGGGTAAGACTCACCGAGTTTTCTCAATGATAGCAGGAGAGTTGCTTGAAGTCTCTGTATGGCCACTGTTGGATTCTGCTTGTGGACTCCTTTTTTGATCTACAGAGCCCCTCAGAACTGAGAGAAAACAAACAAGTACTTAGAAATTTAAGGATAAATTCAGAAATAGGCAAGGTTAGCACCCATCTATGCTCTCTGCAGCACCTCTCTCCCTGCTCTCATGCTGCTTGCTGACTTTTTGCAGCCTTTGTCTAGGACACGTCATCAAAACCGACCTGTTCTGTGACCACAGGCCTTGCTCAGTGCTAGGTCCCAGCCAGCAAATTGGATAAAATAACTCACGCTTATAGGAAAACGCGCTACCTCTCTCTGGAAATAGATACAAATACGGGACAGAGATTAAAGGCCCCCAGGTGAGGCAGATCACAATAGCAGCAGCAGGCCCTAGCTGGAACAGCACTGTGCTAGAGTTAGTAGACAGACTTCTAGTCCTGGCTGGGCAGGGCAGGGCAGGGCAGGGCATGGCTGCCTGCTGATGTGGATATTAGGTCAAGGAATGAATTGTCACAATGTGGGTAGGATTCACTGCAGGTAGGGAATAATTCCAGGGGTAGCCTATTTCTACATTGTGATTGAGGACAGTTTACTGATGAGTTTCTCAAGAGTTAGGGTGACAAATACAATTCCTTCTTCCTGTGATCATGGCAGCCATAACTAATCAATCATGGCCTTCTTTTCCACTGAACCTTAATTCAGCTTCAAGTTCCTTCTTAATACAATGCTTCACATCAGTGGTTCTCAAAGAGTGGATCCACATCATCATGACTTCATGAGAATACATCATATGAAGCATCAACATCACCTAGAAATTTGTTAGAAATGCAGATTCTTGAGTCCCACCCAAGTGAATCAGAAACTCCGGGGGTGGGGCCTGGCAATCCATGTTTTTAAGGCCTCCAGGTGATCTGGATCCATCCTGAAGTTTGAGAGACATTCCAGATCAATGATTCTTAATCCTGGCTATACCATCAGAATCACCTGGGAAGATTTTAAATATGCCTGAGCCCAGCCTCCAGAGATTCTGAAATTGACCTGGGGTGGGGTTGGCATCAATTTTTGAAAGCTCCCCAGATGATTTTAATGTGGGGCCGGGGCTGAGAACCACAGTTCCACATAGTCATTATCAATTAATTGGGTGGGAAAGGGACTCTGCACCTATTTACTATTTTTATTTTAGATTATCTAGAAGCATCCAAACCGAAATATAACCAACAAATACAATATATAAACTTGGCGATTATGACATACTGTGGAAGATGCATAAATTATAAAAGGTTGATGTTATAATGATAGAATATATAACATGACAAAGATAGAGTGCAGAAACAGAAATACAGAAATCAGCGGGCCGGCCCCGTGGCTTAGCGGTTAAGTGCGTGTGCTCCGCTAGCCCGGGTTTGGATCTCAGGCACGCACCGACACACCGCTTGTCTGGCCATGCTGAGGCAGCGTCCCACATACAGCAACTAGCAGGATGTGCAGCTATGACATACAACTATCTACTGGGGCTTTGGGGAGAAAAGGGGGAAAAAAAAAAAAGGAGGAGTATTGGCAATAGATGTTAGCTCAGAGCTGGTCTTCCTCAGCAAAAACAGGAGAATTGGCATGGATGTTAGCTCAGGGCTGATCTTCCTCACAAAAAAAAAAAAAAAGAAATCAATTGTTTTGGTGTTGTCTATTCTGGGAAGAGTATGCTTTGATTCTATATTATTAGTTTGGTTTCTTAGACATAAATATCTCTTGTGTAGCAGAAACGTAATTCTTTGAGCTATCAGGGGTAGATATGACCATCTGTTGTTGTTGTCATTGTTATTGGTATAAACCCCAACAGGATAAAGAGAAAAATTTAAATGGAACATTATTACATTTTTATTATTACACAAAAAACATTATGAGCAAACAATGAAATAACAATAATAAAAGAAAGAAAAAAAGCAGAAATCAAGAAAAATAGCTGCAGCCTTTTAGAATTTCATTAACTGATTCCCTCCCCTCCCCTCCCTGCCGTCTCTTGATTGATGAACTCTCCCGTGAGAGGATCAGGCAGGTTTCCCCCTCCCGGAGATTCTAAAACACTGTTCGGTCCAAGCTTACTCATAATACTGTGATAAGCAAGATAAAAGCAGGAACTGACATGAAAAGAAAAAAGAGGAGCCCACTTCAGGGACACAAATATCTCTGTTTCCTTACTAAGAAGGAAAATCGACACAAATAATTTTAACGTTGTTCTCTGGGCCAATCCAGCAGCACCGAGAGCCACCACTCATTGATCAAAGCCCAGATGGTATTGCCCGTGTGGAAAGCTGAGCTGGCCTTCGTCTGCACCTATTTTGAGATCCTCAGTATAAAAAGGAGCAATGGCAGTTTGATAGCAATTCAGAGAGGAAAAAGCCCAAGCAAAGCCAGAAAACACGACCGAGCCGCTCTTGGTTTGGGGTTCTCCCGAGGAAAGTGCGGTGTCCACCACCGGAAAGAGAGGACGCATCAACACCTTTACGTAGAGCTTGGCACACGCCCCCAGTTACTTTGCCTGGGTTTCCAACAGTAACCCATAGAATTTCTGTTCATGTAATTGAAGGGAAAACTTATTCCATGTTTCTTATTCATTTACACTTCAGTCATCAAAATATCGATTTTTAAGAGTTATTTGAAGTATAAAAACCAAACAGAAACTTGGAGAACATGCTTAATAAAGCTTAGATGAAGTCTGCTCCTCCAACCCCAGCTTTGTCTGAAGAGCAGGGAGAAGGATTTGGCTCAGAGTAAAGAAATCAACTTAAATAAGAAGGAGGCAATCATCACGTTGCACATTTGACACTAATATAATGGGTCAATTATACCTCAACTAAAAAAGTTAAAAAAATAAAAAATAAGAAGGAAGTTATCAAACTATTGAGTTTAAAGCAAAATCCAAAATTGTCAACTATTTTTAAGTACATCCTGGTAACAGTTGGAATCACCCAGCGTCTCTCTGGCAAATTAATTGCTGAACAAGGAGATCGGAAAAATGGAGATATGGAGAAAAACAGGCAAGTAAAAGAGGGTGACTCGTTTAAGTGAAAAGATCAAGTTAAAGAAATTAGAACAGCAACATGCCTGAAAAAATTACATGATGAGCTCGAATAGCAGAAACATTCACAAAATACCAGATTTGAGGTATGTGCAGGTCTGACAATAGAGGCTTCTCCAGAGATGGTTCTCCTCTCCTCAGGGAAGTATCCCTAACTGTTCTGGTTTAATGAAATAAAGCAATACTGAAAGGGACTTCTCTGGAGGAGTAGAGTCCTTCCAAAGTCAGACTGATCTCTACAAGTCATTCATATTTCCCAAGAAAATTGAGCCAGTTCTTCACTGGACCATTTTGAAATAAGATGGAAAAGCATTTAACTATCAGGACAAAAAAAACGAAAACACCTTAGCGGGTGCTGCAAACTCAAATGTCTTTGGGGTCACCCAGGTAACATAAATGTGTGCAGTGTCAGGCAAAGAGGGTGGGGAGTGGTGGCCTTTGTGGTGAACTGAGAATGTACACCCCACCTAAAGACAATCAGGTTCAAAGTTTTTTAAAAAACACTGTGTCTGGCCAAACAAAACATATCTGATTACAACCAGAGGACCTCCTATTTGTGATTTCTTCTAGGGAGAAAGGGTCTAAACTGTAAGTCAGTAAGAGCTAGATATCCTTCTTTTGAAAATGAAAAGTGTCTCATTGTCTCCACCTCCAAATCTCCTCAAGTTCAAGCAACACTGCTACTCCCTGGGTTCCCCCTTCTTCTCTTTTTCCTCCACTCCCTAACCTCCTTGCCCCAAAGTAAAGCTCCAGTTCTATTTCCTGAAACACAGGCTGGTGACCGATTCCACAGGAACCGGAAGTACCCAGAGCCTCATTGCTGGATCTGGCAAATAAACAGTAACTGCAAATTCAACTGTCAAATCCAGGGCAACTCATCCTCACTTTTCATAAAATGCTGGCATTAGCATTAAAGGCCATATTAAAAAATCATAGCCTCTTCCTCAAACATAAGTCCAGGGATCTTCAAATTGCAAAAAGGGGAGATTCCAATATTTTTTATACGTTTGAAAACCACTCATTTAGTCCAATTCTCCCATTTTACAAAGATGTTAATTAATGGAGAGTTTAGACCAGATACCCAAGTTTTAATTTCTTGTCTACAGTGCTATTCTCCGCCATGAATGTTCTCAATTAGTTTGAGGTCTATGTATCAATGTCAGGAACATAGAAAGATATTCCTGAGAAGCTACATTTTCCTAGGTCTTGAGGTAAATCGGATAGAAACATGTCAGGGTCTGCTCCAAGAGGATGGGTTGAGGAGAGTGGCAACTAGACCAGTTTCCCCAGTGAACAGGCAACTGAGCAGAGGGGGCAGGTGCAGAGGAGCTGAGCTTATCTCTACCTATTCTCTCCCCTCCTGTGACATCACTTTTGGGGTCCCCTGCAAGGCTGCCCCTGAATTTAATCAGCTGTCACCTGTAGAAAAAAAGGTCAGAGTAGTAGACAGAGGGTCCATATCAGGTGATCATTTCAAGCTCTGGAACCTTCTCTGGAGTGAATCTGAACACAGGACACCCATCCCAAACCTCTAACGACCCCACCTTTGAGGTCACCAGGCTCACTGCAGTCTTGAACCTGGGGTCTCCCCCTGGTGTCCCCTGTGACAGTGCGAGGCAGATCACTGCTTTGGCCTGAAGGGCACCCTGTGGAATGAAACAAAGGAGGAAATTCTCAAGGTTATGCTCCCACACCTGGATGAATTACCAAAGTGGGTGATACAACCTGGCTAAGGAAACCCACACTCGTCTTACAGTTTGAGGCTCCAAGGTGATAAATCTCACCAACAGATTTGGCACTTATTTTTAAGATTTAATATAGTGTGGTTGGAAAGGGCATAATAGGAGGGAACAGGAGAATTAATAACTGTTCTGGTTAGACTCCCTACTAGCTTGGTAACACTGGGTAATTTGGGGAACCTCTGTCTCATTCATCGCATTAGTCAAATAGGGAGCTGGGTGACAAACAGAGGTCATGAGTGCACCAG